TTCTTGAACTAGCCAGGCCATCTGGCCATAATTCATACCTAAGAAGAGAAAAGAACCAGGGAGCCAAGGGTGATGCTTTCTCCCTTGTTGTGACTCCAGTATTCTTTATTTTCTTTTGCATTTTCTTCCTTCTTTTTAGTGGCCTTGACCCTAGTCTCTGCCCAAGCCAAGTACTTATCCTTAGCAAGTCTGTGCTTCTTCTGACAAGTTTAGAGAGTTGTGTCTTCCCCCACTGACTTTGTTGATGGTCTTTCAGCCTTTGTTTACTGAGCCTTGGGTTGGAGCCATTCACCTACAGGTCTAAACTGTGTATTATGGATAGCCAAAGTACTAGCTACCAAAAGAGGCTTTGACCTAATTCTCCTCTTACATGTGTCTTTCTTATTGGCTCAAAGATTACACAGCAAACAAATACTACAAATATTACAAAAAAAACAAATATGCATTCAGCTGTTATTATATGCAAAGGATGCTAAGGGAGGGTACAAAAGATGACAAGCTACTGTTCCTACCTTCCTAGGACTTACAGTCTTGGTAGAGATAAAAGTAGCAAGTAGAAAGACCCTTCAGTTCATGGCCATGCTGCTTGTCACATACACAGTCCATATTTTCAAAAATCTTTCCTTCATATAACTTACCTTGACTGCTTATGGGAGATCACTGTGGCTGGCTCTATCAACCGTCATTCCACCTTCCTTCTAGTGCAGATGTTAGGAAGCTGGAAATATTATTTCTTAGACAACTTTGAAACTATATTTACAAAGTAAAGCAGAGAAGTGAGGTTGGAAAGATATGAGTGTTCAGAGGGAGTCACGGCAGCCTGACCAGGGGCCTGGGGTCCAGTCTCCAGCTTGTGGATAAAGAGGGCACCATGGTGGCCACTACCATAGGTGCTTCCTAACAGCTGCATGGCAGCCACGATGGAGCTTCTAAAGATGATTGACACTATTCTGTTGCAGAAATGAGATGGACAGCAGGTAGAATTCGTATCAAATTTGGACAAGGTCCCATTTCACCAAATGACTTAAAAAGCACTTAATCTCTCTATGAGCAGACTTTATTCCTCAGAAAGCAAAGCCAACCCAAATGGTTCCCCCTGAAGTTGAATAAAATTACTAGAAAACATACATACTTTGTCACAGTGGGGGAGGGAAATCCTAGACCACTTCTCCAGAGTGACTCCATCTACTCCAACCACTTTGGAACAAGGGATAAATTCCTGAATGCACTGGGACATGGCCATTGAATAGCATCTCTTTTCTTTGTTTCATGTGGTTTCTATTTATTTACAGACTGCTATGGTTATTCATGATACTTTACAAACCATAAAAACCAGGTCTCCACCCTATAGAATTTACAGTGTAATTTAAACAGACATGCTGCATGGGCTGACAGGTCAGGCATGCCAGGAGATGGTGTTGGTGTTGTATAACATGGGTGTGGAAGGTTTCTTCTTGAGTTATAAATACTTTCCAGCTACAAGGGCCTTTCATCTGGGATCCCCAAGCACTTTAGAATCACAATAACCTCAACTGCTTTCTAAATGCACTTTCCATAAACTGTGAGGGGACTGAGTAAATGCTTTTAAATGTCTATTAATTGATCTGTGGATCTGTTCATTGTCCATATTAAACAGCAGGATGTAAACACAATGATTTGGGTTAGGCCTTGTTTGGGCTGTGATCTGACTGCCCATAGATTACAACCCCAGAGAGATCTGGTAACCTTGACACTCATTGGAAGGGTCATATGGACACCTGGGTATATTCCCAGGCAAGATACTCACTCAATCTTGACTCATAAAGACCACTTTCTGGGGCCTTGATTCACCTTTAATGGTCACCTTAGTGTTTCAAAATCAGCTGAGCTCAGAGAAAGAATTTCTCAAAGAATCTCCATTGGAGAAACTTGGGTAGTCAACCCTCTGCTAACAGTAATGGTTCCCATTCAACTCCCTGCTACCCCATTCTTTCTCTTGAACAGTGGCATTTCCAAAACAGTAAGATTTCTATTTCATCAACTGCTATGGAGTTTCCCCTCCCATGTGTCTCTCAATAACAATTTAGCAAGCAATTATTTCTGAACTTTTTGAAAAGTTCATTCAAACCCAAGGGAAGAGGAACTTTTTAGGGTTTGGATCTTAAATGTTCCCCCAAAAGCTCATGTGTTGAAGCCTTGGCCCCCAGTGCAGTTGTGTTTAGGGGATAGGTCCTTTGGGAAGTGGTTGGATTATGAAGGCTCTCATCTCATGAAAGGATTTATCCATTGATGGATTCATAGCTCGGTGGGCTTGGGAGGAAGATCTTCATTATAACGGTGAGCTCTCTGTTCAACTTAGCTGCCACTAGTTGAACAGCTTTCCTCTGTCACACCCTAAACAATGGGGCTAAGTGACTACGGACTGAAACCTCTGAAACCATAAGGCAAGGTAAATCTTTCCTCCTTTTAAGTTATATTTCTTAGGTAGTCCTCAGCAACAGGAAATGAACACCCCCCCTTCTACTCATCCTTTATGAGGTCCTTGAGTTAATTTTCTAAAAACCCAGATGGAATCCTATCACCTTTCTACTTTGAGAAAATTACCTGAAGAATAAAACCTAGGCTACCTGGGGCCCCTTACAGCTCTGCCAGCGGATCTGCCTCATCAGTCCACATGACTGCAGCCTTGGCCACATCAGAAAGATCCCTTCTTCCCCAGAGACCTCGAAATTTCTGTTCATTCCATCTTCTATCATCTCTTCACCCCATTCTCTCATCTTCCCAGCAAACTATTGCCATTTCATGCCCACTTCTAACATCCTTCACCTCTATAGACTTCCAAGATCCCCACCACCATGCACCTTTCCTCTACCATCTGTGCACATTCATCTCTTTTCCTTGGGCACCTAGATCTCTCCACCTCCATGATCACAGCTGTCTCTTTAATTTTTAGGGATCAGGTCCCCTTGAGTACAGAGATACCTCATAGAGTAATCACAAGATATTTTTGTTTTCAGGACTGGAAGTTGAACCCAGTGCTTGGCATTGAGCTACATCCCCATCCCTTTCCAATTTTTATTTTGAGACAGTCTTGCTGAGCCACCAAGTTGCCCGGGCTGGGCTCCAACTTGTGATCCTCCTGCTTCAGCCTTCCAGAGTGCTGGGATTAAGGCATGTACCACAATTCCCAGCTTCAGAAAATTTCTGTGAAGGTCTCATTTTGTACTTTGAAGGGCTGGCTGATGAAGGGGAAGGGAAAGGAATGACCTGATAAACCATTTAGAACCTTGTTTGTAGAATTTTGTCACCTTCAGGAGGAGATCACTGTACAGTAATGTTAACCAATTTTTTTGTGATAAAATGTGCGTAACAAATTTACCACATTAATCATTAAGTTTAAGTTTATAGTTCATTGGCATTAAATACATTCACCTGTGTGTTGTGGATTTATCTCCAGAACTTTTTCATCTTTTACTGAAACTCTGCACCCGTTGAACACTGACTTTGCCTTCCTCATTCCCCCACATCCCGGCCACAACCATTCTACCTCCTGTCTCTGTGAACTTGACTATACTAGGGCCCTCTCATAAGCGGAATCGTATAATACAAGTCTGGTTTTGATCAGCATATTTCACACAGCACAATCTCTTTAAGTTTCATCCATGTTGAAACATGTGTCCCAATTTCTTTCCTTTTTAAGTCTGAATGATGTCCCATTATAGATATGTGCCACATTTTGCTTGACCATCCATCCATCAGTGAACACTCGGTTTGCTGCCACATTGTGACTTTTATGAATAATACCACTCTGAACATGGAGTATACACATATCTGAGACCTTGCTTTCAGTGTTTTTTGGCATACACTCAGAAATGGTGGTATTAGATCATGTTAATTAATTTGGGGGGGACTGCTATTCATTTTCTGCACAGACTACCACATTTAACATTCCCACCAACGTGTACAGGGGTTCTAATTTTTCCACATCCTCACCAACACTTGTTAGGTGTTTATTTTTAATAGCCACCCTAGTGGTATAAGCGTTACGACTTTATGATTTTGACTACATTAAGTTCTGAGCCTCTGTGTTCACTGCCTTGATGCCCCATGGCAAACCCCAACTCACTTGACAGCATGTCCTCTAAATCATCTTCAAGGAAGTTCCACTGCCTGGGGGGAGGAGGGGCTGGTTGAGGGAGATCTGAAAGGTGAGCAGGCCTGTACCCTGTTGTGTTTCTGCGTTCAACCCAGCAGGGCGCACTCCCATGAGCTCATAGATAACAGGGCAGCTTGCTTTTCCAAGCCAAAGCAGGGACCTAGATCACTGGCAAAGGAGTCTTTTTGTTTCCTGCCACTCCGCTCAGGCTCCTCACAATGTTAGTCCAATGCGGCTCAAGCAGCCCAGGCCAGGGCAGTATTTCTCAAAGGAAGTGCTACTGGATTCTGGTGGGATAATTCATTAGCTAGGACAGTCTCCGGTGCTGCAAAGCATTGTGCATCCCAGAGGCCAGCAGGGGTTTTGACAACCAAAATGCCCCACCCACATTTCCAGAGTTCCCCCTGTTGGTAACAGGAGCTACACAGTTGAGAACCAGGTACTCAGAGAAAACTGAGAGTCCCAGGGTCTCCCACTCACTCCACAAAGCAGTCACTGCCATATTGAGGCCTTCTGTGGCATTCAAAGGATCCTGGGGCGCAGCCAAGAAAAACATCACAAGTGGCTGTAGGTAACCTAGATGACTCCCTGAGTTGGTTAATGGTTAGTTGACAATGACAGACTCATATGTCAGGAGAAAGAGGAAGCTACTCACTAAAAGCAAGATGAGTGTATGAAAGAAAAAAATATAGCCACCCTGCAACCTGGACTTATGATCTCAGCCTGCAGTGTCCAGCAGCCACCTACACACACACGCACGCACACACACACACACAAACACCCCTCTGCCCAGCTGGTGAATAGCACTGTTGCTCTGGGAAGTCTGTGCTGTGCTCGCTGGGGTTAGGGACTTCATGTCACTGTGCTGCCATAGCAACCGGGAAACAACCTGGACTCACAATGAGGAGGATGGTGCTGTGCCCCAGAGCTGTAGAGGCATTTGCGCGCGTGGCGCAGTAACAGAGCAACCAGGACAGAGGGTCAACAAGGACTTAGGCAGAGGCTGAGGAAGGCTGCCCAGAGCATAGACAGTCAGGGGCTCGAGGAGCTGGGCATGCCGTTTGTTTTCCTCTCCACAGAGATGCACACTGTCTAAACTGTGTGGCTGGTTGTTACTAGCAGCTGCTGTAAGAGAGGGAAAATGCATTTAATAAAAGGCCCAGTGTTTGTGGTCTTCTTGGGCTTCTGTGGAGCTTTGGAAATCTTGAGGTGTGCCTAGTTTTCAGCCTTCAAAACTAAGATGAACTGCCCTTGAGAAGGGGTGGTCAGAGAGGAAACATGTTCACCCTCTCTCTCCTGAGCCGGGGGCACGGAAAGTTGGTCCAGAACAAACAGAAGTTGGAAGTCTATTTTGAACCAGAGGTGAGTCTTACAACTCAAAAAAGGCACATTTTCAGAGTGGGAAGGAATGCTCTATCTTTCCACATGGGGGTGAACCAGGTGTGCCTGGTGTGCGGTGTTAAGGAGATGGGGGGGGTCTTCTCTCCTTCAAGATAATAATGTAGTTCTCTTAACACCCCAGTATTGCCATGGCATCCCTCTTCTTTCTGTTGGACCCACACTACAGCCTCCTTTGCTTCGGACTGAAGGAGAATCCAGATGGTCTGGAATTTAGATGGTTTGTTTCGCAACCAGAATCTCCACCTGGGTTCTAGGCAAGCTAATGGTTGTTTGGCTTTTAGAAGTCCTGCTCTGTGGTGAAATGCTGTGTGTGTTCTTGCCATTTCAATGACTTCCTTGAACTTTCTGGAATTCAACTCAGGGGATTTATATTTAATATAGGCCAAAAAAAATTTCACTTTGGATTTTAAAGAGGTGGGAAAATTCCCTTATTGTACTGGAATTTTATTTCTTGAATCCTGCCAGGAATAAGAAATCCACTGAGGGTACTTTCACATTTTTGGGTCATACAGAGATTTCCATTGTTCTGAAATTTGACCTCTCCTGTGTTAAAAGACATATAAAATTTCAAAGGGCCTCTATGGCCAGTGGCGTTTACTTACAAGATATCTAACTACTTTATAGGCTCCTAAATAGCCAAATTAGGTCATGTTGCACAGCATCTGGAATGTTTAGAATTCTCCCTGTGTACAGCTGAAGTGCTAGTGGGTTGGAATGGTTTTCTCCTATTTAAACTGCCAACTAGTCCAGATCCGATTTCAAAGTTATCTGCTGCCCTTGACAATTCTGACTACTTACTTGCATACCCAGAAATTTTAACTGGCCTGTAACCTACACTCTACCCTACATAACCCTCCAGACCTGAATGACTCTCCTGAAAGTTGTATAGAATAAAAGAAAACCATGCCCTGGCTTCTCACTAATCTTGAGATGTGAAGAAAAAAGCCAGTTGCTAAGATAAATAATTGCATTTCCTAATTCCACATGAACAATCAATAACAAAAAAGGGTTCCAAACACTGCCTGAGAAGTATTTTCTGTAGAAAGCTCTTCCACAGCGGCTCTACAGGTAGTTTCCTTCTGTTGCAGGATTATCTGAACTGGAAGTCCCCAGAAGACTATGTCCTGGTCAGCAAACCTCAGGAAGAAGACAGTACCAACCAGCACTCCTGGAGCCTCTTTCTTCCCAAGACGTTCAGCACCAGGAAGGGTGCCCTGATCCTGTACTCAGAAGGGCTGGCCATCCCAGCATGGACTCCCGGAGAGAGGAGAAAAGGCCCTTACCGGCCCCTGGGTCACAAGAAGAAGCTGGATCTTGAGCTACACACCTTGCAAGACCTCAAGGAAGCCATCCTGGCCTATGGAAGAAAACAGGTAGGCAGAGCAGTATCTCAGTTTTGGGAAAGGTCCTGGCTTGTGTGTCCATGAATCCAGTTGCAGCTTTGGATATAATTTCTTGGACCCTAAGGAAGGTATGAACCCCTCAGGCTTCCATTTGTTCATCTCTGCCATGAGCTTGTATTCAGCCCCGTCTGTCACATAAGATTGCCATGAGGCTTATATATGTGAAAGGGCTCTAAAAGCATGGAAGGTCTGTTATCAACATTTTGTGTTTTCCTTGCAATTATAGTAACACAAAGTCCTTTTCAACATCCAGATAGACATTTCATTGGAATCCTTGAAATCCTGTCTCAATGCCACAAGCATCATCATCCCATCTATGATGTTTTTGGCTTTGTGGAAACGAGAAGGAGAACATTTTAAATATTTACTTTAATCCCTGCAGCATCTGCAGGACAAGTTAATGATTTTTTCCACTCTGTATTTAATAATAAGGGGGAAATCCTTGTGCATTTTTTGATTCACACTTTCTAATTCTTTTTTTTTTTTTTTTGGTACTGGGGATCGAACTCGGGCCCTTGTGCTTGCAAGGCAGGCAGCGGAACCACTGAGCTAAATCCCCAGCTACACTTTCTAATTCTTATAAGATGCACCCATGGCCCCTGTTACATATAATTGCATCCATCAGCCCTTTGACTGATGAAAATGTGTCACTTTCTCAAATTCTAGATTAGAGATGGTGGATTATTCTCTAGTTTAAAAGTCTCTGCTGACTAATAAAACAATTATATTCTGATACCAGGCCCTTCACACAGTGACTTTCTCTTCAATGTCTAATCATATCTCCCACTTGTTCTTACCACCATTTCAGCCATAGACCCTTAAAACACATCCACCGCGTGACTAGCTTTCCCACCCCATGCCTATTAATGACTCTATACTCTTACATACATTTCTACAGCTGGCTAACTCCTACCTATCCTTCAAAATACAGCCCAAATAACATCTCCTCACTAAAGCCTCTCCCAATTCCCTGGCAGAGATATACTTTGCCTCCCTCATTTGCAAACATTCCCATAGCATTGTACATTGAGATTTATCTCTGGCTATTTGATATCTCTGATGGAATAATGTCTCCTCCAGGGCATGGACTATGTCTAAATAATTTCCAGAAATGTTTGTGAATGAATGAATTGGTTATGTTTAATACTTTCAGTGTTTCTTAGATTGTCTCCCCTTATTAGTATTGGGCAGTTTATCCCTATCCCCACCCTAGGCAGAGCTTCCAAAAGGAAAGATGCCTCTGCCCCTTTTCCCTTCTTTCAAAATAGAGAGGCTTGAATACCTTGATCAAATAAATGCCCAATTGTATGTCTTGAAACAATAAATTCTCGGATGATAGAGGAAACCAATTGTTGTCAAATGCTTACTGTAATTTGTATGTCTATCATTTAATCCTCACAGTGACCCCATGAGACATGATCTTCTTGACTCCTTTTATAGATGAGGAATCTGAAGATCAAAGGGGTTATGTGACTTGCTCGAGGTCAGAGAGCCAGTAAATGACAGAGCCAGGATTCAAACCTGGGACTGCCTACCTTTTGGAGTCAGCACGGCTTGCACTGTGCCCTATTATCTGTGGACCTGCAAGGGCTCCAGAGATCACTGTGCCTTGCCTTGGCTTGTTCCCCCTCAGATCCCCTCTACACCTCTCAGCTCTGCTCAGTGTCATAAGGGGGTTGGCCACAGCCATGTATAATTCCCAAACATTTCTGTCGATAGGCTCCCGGCTAAATTTGCCAATGGAAGACAATGGGAGGAGATTGGAGAAGGAGAAAGAGAAAACCAGGGTATTTTCCCCTCCCATTCTGCCTTGGGCAACAAGAAACATCTGCATTCCCTCTGTGATCCAGCTCTCAACAGGCCCAGATGGTCCCTCTGAGTAGCCCCATTCATTGACTCATCCCCTTGTCCCTCTAGCTGAGGGTGGGGCCAGCTCCCTGTTGTTATGGATCCCAGCTTTGCCTCAGTATCTGTTTGGCTTCTGAGCTTGTCAATCACTTGTGTAACTCATCACCTAAATTAAATTCCTTCTACGTTTACATATTCAGAGCAGTTTCTGTTTTCCTGGTTAAATACTGATTGTTATATAGAGTAACTTACTACGAGAGTAAGAAAACTTTCTAAGCTTCTAGGTGCATATTGATATGGCTACATTCTTTGGGCAAAGGAATCTTATTATAATAAGTAGGTAAGTCCATTTGGGGACAGCTTCATTTTTGGTTAGATATGGGCTCAATGGGGAAAAAAAAGTTCCTGTCTTCTGGTATCTATTATTAGACTTATAGCTCACACTTGTACAATACAGAATAGTCTAACTCCAAATGGGTAGAAGGGGAATGGTGTGAAGAAATGCAGAAAGGTTCAGAATAGAAACAGGGCATTTAAGTCTAGAAAACAGTAGATTAAAAGAGGGGAACTTAAAAGGACTCAGAATGAAAGAAAACAAACACTTCAGCAGAGTAGAGCTTTGGAGAGTAGAGAGTACCATCTGATTAGTAGGACTACAGATCTCAAGAAACTCAAAATCATGACAACCGGGGTTTTAGGGTTGTGAGGAAATTGTCTTTTGCACTAGGAGCACAAATTTACATAACATTTCTGGAAAGTATTTTAGAAGAAAACCTAAAAATGATTGTTACCTTTTGATTCAGCATTCTATTTTTAGAATTTGCCCTAGGAAATAAGCAGATATACACCCAAATAGTGCATAAAATGTTAACTACAGTATAATTTATTACTATGAAAAACATAGGAAACTGTCAGGTAAAAGGGCCGAAATCCAAGACCAGACCAGGCCACAACAAGCCTTTATTAGGGGAATAGATCTGCCGGGCTGTCTCTGAACAAAGGAGAGACAAAAGCAATATGGCCGGGGCAGGGAGAGTCTTTTATAGAGACTGGGGGGGGGTTTGTAGGGGCTGAGGTGGGGTTGAGTGAGGTAGTGACTAGGGAATGGAGGAGCCGGTGATGTCACTAGCTGGTAGGAGGTGAGCAAGTATTAGGTCACTCTCTAGGCGGGAACAGGGGCATGCTGGGAAGAAGGGTTTGTTCTTTGGTGGGAGCAACCATCTTGGCATAATGTCTCACAGGGGATGGGGCAAGGCATGATAGGAAGAGGGCAGCTACTATACATAATAGCTGCTGAGGTAGTGGGAGACCTATCAGAAACAATGTATGTCCCACAATGGTATACTGGTTAAATAAATTATGGCAGAATCATGTAATAAATTTCGGGTCAAGTGAAAAGTCATGTATTAGTCATAAATAACATGAGCAGTATTCACAAGATCTTCTTTAACAGCAGGTTGCAAAATAGTATTTATATGCAGGTAATAAAAACACCAATGTTCATTAACAGTGTCTGAGTATTTACTATGTTCCTAACTCTGGTCTAAGTATTTTCCAAGTATAACTCATGCTTTCAGATAATCATGGCATAGGTACTAGCCCATTACACCATTTTAAAGATGAGGAAACTAAAGCACAGAGAGTTTGAGTACTTCTTTCAAGATTATATACCCAAGCAAATCAATGCACCAGAATTCCAGATCAGGCAGTGTAAAATACATGGCTTCACAAATATAATCCAAAATTTAAAAATCAATTGAACATTCTTAGAAAGATACACAACAAATTTTTGCTTGGGGTTAAACCATCAGTGGTGGGACTATAAATCTTAAATTCATTTATACATTTCTTTTAAGACACTATTTCTTTTCTTTTCTTTTTTTTTTTTTTTTTTGGAACTAGGGATCGAATTCTGGTCCTTGAGCTTGCGCAGCAGGTAGGGAAACCACTGAGCTAAATCCCCGGCCCTAAGACACTATTTCTTAAAGCCATGGAATTTTTAAGATGAAATTAAAAATCTATGGCTTTTTAGGAGGTAGCCCCAGAGGTCCGGTGGGAGGGTAGGAAGGGAATGGAATAGCCAGTTGTGCTGAGGTCTGGGAATGTTGTACAGGGTACAGTGCTCACCTGGCAAACTGAACCCACCAATAACCACAGTCTTCCTCAGGATCAGTATTTCCTTGTCCAAATAGAAGAGGTCAAGTTAAAAACACTACTCAAAGTAAAAGCCAAAATGGGGAAAGAAACAAAGGTAGAGGAGGACTGTGCAGTATGTGCTGCTATTTCTAGAAGGTTCTGTTCTGGCTGACTGAGAATCAGGAAACCACATCACTCAGCCTCATTCAGATCTGAAAGAATTGAAGCTGTCACAGCCAGGTGCAATTCAGTTTTAAACCCTCTCCCAGCATCTCCAGCCCTGTAGGTCTCCAGCATATGTGTGGTAACATCTCTGCAGTTTAACTTTCTCAACTATTTAACTTTCTCAACAGCCCAGTTTCCATGTTAAGAGACTAGAAATTAAAATTTTTAGACTTTTAGATACATGCAGACAGGTTCCTTGGTTGTGGTTTTGTTTTGTTTTTGTTTTTTAATAGAATGAAATCTTTTTCAACACTTCCAAAGAAAAAAACCATTCTTCTTTAGGCCTTTCATGTATTCAGCATCTCCTTATTTAGAAGTCAAATAGCTATGAAACCTAGATAAATATAATTTGGAGTAGTTTCTAAATGATAGCCATAATGATGCTCTTGAAGCACAGAATTTTAAAGTACCTTTCTAAAGTCATCAAAAATAGTAAAGTCATTAAATAAAAATATTTTAAAATAGTAAGTCATATAAAATATAGTATAAAATATAATGTAAAATATTAAGTCATTTTCAAATTGTGAAGTATTACTTATAGTTTTAGAATTTTGTAAATCTGGTGATTTTTTAAATGTCTTAGTCTATTTTCTCTTGCTATAACTGAATGCGACAGGTTGGGTAATTTATAAAGAATAGAAGCCCTAAAAAAAAAAAAAAAAAGAAGAAGTCCTAGAGACTGGGAAGTACAAAAACACAGCACTGGGGACTTCTTGGCATCCAGTTAAGGTCTTCACGCTGTGTTGTAACATGGCAGAGGG